TGTTATTGTTAAATGATGTCATTATTCTGTTAAACTCCACTACAGATTCTCTTGTGGTTCAATTTTTTTCACCCTAGCTTTGGCCTCCATTGAAAATTATCAATTAAGCTTCCTAACAACAGACTAAAGTGAAGCTAAATCAGCTACAACTCCTGTACTTTTCATTATTGGCAGTAAATCAAAAATTGAACCAAGCGATGACAATGGAATGACTTCAGAAACGTTTTGAAGGCCATATAGGGTTCTTTCCATGTTGATTTCAAGTACCCTTCTAGACATGATGTTCAAGTTTTTCAGGGCTTTTGCTTGTTAATTCAATTTGGGAAGTTAATATGCTTTGTTGTAGTAATTGTGGATGTAAAGTGTTAGCAGTATTTGTTGCAAAATTTGAATTCTAATTGTCTTATTTTTCTTTTTAGATTGTTGAATTCTTTTGTTCATATGGCATTCAAAACAAATTTCCTTCATAATTTTAGGCCTCACCTTCTCACATAATAATCATTTGTTTTGACTGAACCAAGTACGTTTTGTACTAGTTATTCACAATATAACTCTTCACTTTTGAGGACTAATTGTTTCAAGGTCAATCTCTAGTATGATTGAAAGTTTTTAGTTAAGAGTGGTTTCTCATCTTCCTCCACTATATTATCCTCTCAGTAGCACAATTTTTCACCTCACAGGGGCTGCAGAAGACTGCCACATACTTGTTTTGTAGTTCACTCTACAAAGTTTCCTAGAAAGTTATTTGTGACAATCGTGGAAGTAAAATATATTCTCTCAATGAGGGTTTATGTGACTTCATCATCAAAAAATAGCCAAACATGACAGTTGATCTACTACTAATAATAGAAAAATATATTCATTTATTTGGTCATCTTTGCCTTGGATCGTTCAACAAAATATCAAAGAATGCTCTCTTCCAAAAAAATTGCTCCAGTGAGTATGAAATCATTAAGCAAGCAAGAAAATCAGAAAAATAGTGCTCGGATAAGGATAATATTAGGCTAATATATACCAATATGACAAGATTATTCCAATAAATATAGAAGTTATTAGTTGTATATCATGTTAACTACAACAGTTAAGTTGGTAGTTATATCATATTGTATCACCTTGGCCTTTGGTTATATAAAGTATTGATTTCATAGGTCTATTTCAATAGCACCAACTTATACATGAATCTTATTAGTCCTCATCCATTACTTCACCGAATTGATATGATAATAAACACAATTTATCAATTTTTTTGGTACGAGATTTTTGCTGTTCAACTTTCCTCGAGCTATAAACACCAACAATATTGGGAAATTTTTTGAGATGAAAGAGTTGTTACGTCGCCTTATCTTACAATTCAGGCGATGATTTCATTTCTTCTACCGCGCAACAAGACTACAAATGCAACATTGAAAACTCGCCTTTGTTTGCTCTCTGCATCGTCAGAGCGTCCCTCCCCGGGACGTTGGCTGCTGTGTACGAAGCTCGTATTATTTTCTCTAAAAAAAATGAAAGATTTGCATGTGAGGAATGGACTTAATCTCTAGTTCTCAATCTATCGTTCTTAGAAGAATGGACAAGCTAAAGCAACAATAAAACCATCCTTAATGACCTTAAAAAGATCTCAAACATTAAAGGTCTCCAAGTAGTGTACATATGTGTGTGTGTGCGCGCGCGCCGCAAGTCTTAGCCTGTTGGTGGCGGGGTCACTGTAAGTCTCCTTAGGTCAAGAGTTCAATCCCACCGTGGCGCGGATGCTCTGTAATTTTAGACACATGGCGTAGGGCTCTCATCATGGGGCCGAAAAACACATGTGAAATCGATATTTTGGCTTCTGCTAAATATCAATTTCCTTTTGACTATATATATATATATATATATGATGCAAGAAAGTCGGCATCCCAAGAATATGAAAATCAAAATATATAAACACAGTTTTTATCTAAATTATAAAAAAATTAATAATAATATTATTATATGTAGGATGAACATCATTGAACCATGAAGGAGGAGATAACTCGAGTAGAGCCATGTCTTTAGAACCCCCTTGGTTAGAACAAACTTAAACCCTGAAGAGATTAAAAATTATTCAGATTTATTCTTGATTTGTTTTGTTTGAATGTTAATATGTCTGCAACATTCTAAAACATATATGATTTGGGTAACTCTTGCTTCAAAAATAAACACAATAACCAATGCATGTCATAGCTAAGCATCAGTTTGATACAAATCCAAGGCTAATAAAATTTAGGGAGAGTTACATGATTAGCACTCTAAACATTGCTATTTACAAATCTACCGCCCACTTTTATTTATTTTTCATGTTGTCACTCAAATATCAAAACTCACGATAGATGCCCAAGCCATATTTTTCATTGCTATCAAATTCCTAATGATTTGATTGCGGCACGAGTAAATATATCAGTTTGATAGTTCAAAAAATTAAATTAGTGTTAGTTTGGTAAATAGCAAATTTTCGAGGGTTGTGCCTGTAATTATCCCTAAATATACATTGGCAGCTATAATTAATCACATTTTACAATGTATAAAGCTGGAATATTTGATTACTTAGCAAGAAAAAAAAAATCTATAGAGTATCGTACGGCCGGGTTAACTCTTGAGTATGTTATGTAAGGAATGATTCAAAAGATGTAATTTTTTTGGCTCGAAGGCTAGACAAAATAGATCAAATGTTATTTGAATACTTGATTCATGTAATCTAATTCATCCCTGTGAGTATCTGATTGTTGTTGTGAATATGGAAAACGGTCCACTGTTCAAATTGACATTTTCTCATGTTTGACAGCAAATTGGATTTAATACTTGAAATTGGTTGCTCTTAATCCCTTCTATGATTTGTTGCAGAGAGAAAATAAAATAATTAATATGTTTCATTAATTATTTGAGTAATTCCTTAATAGCCCTAATGACATGATGAAATTAATAAATAAACATGCTAGCTCCGCTTATTAGCTCGCTCGGGATTTGGTTTCCCAGGCTTCCTCTTCGTCATTAGTAGTTTTCCAGGTTCTTCTTCTGGCGTGCTTCGGTTTGAGGCTCTCGGGGAGAGAGAGAGAGAGAGAGAGAAGAAGAAGAGAAGGAGAGGAAAGAGAAAGAGTGATTTCTTGTAATCGTCGAGGTGATCGACGGGTGTTATTTCTCAAAGTAATAAAATCTTTTGCAGTTCTGTGGACGTAGGCAATTTGTCGAACCACGTAAATCTATGTTGCTTCGCTGTACTTTTCTGTTTGCGAAATTTTCTCGCTTTATTGCCGTCATTTTTTCACAACAATTATCACTATCTACTTCATTTTATGAAGCGTCGAATTATCATAACATACTCGAGGGCTCTAAGATGATCTGAAGCTTCTCATTTACCTCCTGTCTTCCTCTTAACCTCATTATACTCCAAGGTATTCTTCGAAGTCTCCTTTATGAAAAATAAGATAAAAGATTATAATAAATTAATCTACATTGCGTTTAGAACATCATGATGAATACTACCCGTAAAATGATATTTATTCCTCAAGGAAAGCATATTCAATAAAAATATGTTCTTATTATATTCATACCTTTTAGAATGATAACTTCTTTAGATCTTATTTCATCATCTCGTACTAAAAAATTAGCGATTATTTGCAATCTTCTACAACTACTTGATATGCTCATTTATCTCTAAGTTCAATTTTTTCAATGTTGAGAACAGTGAGATTTATTATTTGATATTTTAGATGTCTATATATCATCTCTAGGGCTGTCAAAATGACTCGTTGTTTGCGAACAGCTTGTGTTCGGCTCCGTTAGAAGCTCCTGGTCGGGTTAATGAGCCGAACAAGAACAAATATTTGTTCGTTCGTGTTCAGCTCGTTTTGGCTCGAAATACTACTAAATATATCTTTGATGAGTAGTATTTTTTAAAAATTTAATTGACTACGAGGCTACAAAAATTTATAATCAATTAAAAATATTAATAAAGAAAATAGAATAAAGATTATTAAATTAGATTCAAATGATGTTTTAAATCTTGCCCCAATTCTTAACATCTTATGGTTATGTGATTAGGGTTGTTAAAACGGCTCATGTTCGGCTCCCTAAGTAAACGACCCCAACACGAACATAATTTTTGAGCTCGAAATATAAACGTGCCGAACACCGAGCTGAGCCTAGGCTTGCCCATGCTCGACTCGTTCACACCCCTAATCATCTCCACATAATCACCACCAACTCATCCATCTTCACTCCACTGACCTACAAATTTACCCTCCTTTTTTGTCTAAAAAAAATAATTAATGGAATTTAGTATTAGACTTTCTCTTTTATTAGAAGAGAAAATAAAAAATAAAAAATAAAAACACTTCCAACCTTTATTGGAAGTTGGACACCAATGTCGTATGGCAACAAAGGATGCATGGAGATGAAAAAACCGAAACCATGTATTCTCTTAGCCATCTCAAATGGATCTGACAGCTTTATATTGGTACGGAAAAACAAATATCAATATTTGATAGAGACCCAAATATCGATTTCACATGCGCATCAAGACCCCATAATAAGAGCCCTCACCATGTGTCTAACTATTCAAGAACTCCGCGCTACGGGGGATCAAACTTGTGACCTGAGGGACTTATAATGAACCCCGCAAACCAACAGAACACAACTAGCGGCACACACACACATACATTTTAATTACTTGTATAAAATAATATGATGAACTAATATCACAAAACTTCGTTAAAATGAAAAGCCAAATCTCTCTAGATGTCACCAAAAAAAAAAAAAAACAATTACGTAAAGCCGATAGAGAGAGAAAGAGAGACTTATGCCACTTGACACGTGATGCCCCACTATTGAACCTTGAATGCATCCGGAGTCCTGGCCTAATATTTTTTTCCCAAAAAGGTCTCCATGATTTTCCCCACCCAAGCTCAATTTTAAAAAACTAGACTTGGAAGCCCTGACATGACATGCATTAATATCATCTTTACATCCAAACTAAAAGTTTAACATGCTCAAAACATTAAAAACACAATTTGCCATTCAAGTCAGAAATTTGAACTCAAGCTTGTTAACAAAGGCCCTGCCAATACATTATCTCAGCACATTCCTAACAGTTCTAAATTCCATCAGTGCTTGGATTTATACAAAGGGAACAAACGATCCCATTATGGGACCTGAAAACATCAAATATTTGCAGGATGGGGCCAATTTATTCAAAAATTGCTGCAAAAGTGTAATGTTTAACAGCTCGCCGAAGCTGTAAGCAACTACAGGTGTTAAGAATGAAATGGAAACAAGTTGGCATATTGTCACAAGAGCGAGCGACAAGATACAACAACAGATGCTACGAGTTGCAACTCCGGATCATGATTCCGAAAACACATCCTTCTACTCCGAATAACTGTAAAGAATATATTTCAATTTGGTTAGAAAAAGATGACAGAAAATTTTTTTAAAAAAAAGTGAAATTTACAGACAAACCACACAATTCTTATGTATTGACACACCCAATGTTTGATATTTACATTCACTTTTAAAAAGATACTGGTGGTGATATTTTTTATGTGAGGTTAAATATTTGAGTGGAGATTGATGAGTATGCAGATAAATGCAATGCATTGTTCAAAGCTGAGAACAGTCAGCTTTATGCTGCATGGAAAAAAAGAGATAAAAATATTAGAAAAAACAAAGCCATATTAAAGGAATAATGATGAACACAATTAAAGAGTATCTGGGATTGTAAAATCAATAATCTGGACCAAGATTGTGATCAAAATATGTTATGAGGCCTTTATGTTTATTTTGAGATGAATGCAATACAAAATACTCGTGTATTACTCTCATCTTAAAGCAGATCCAAGAGGTTTAAGGACAATTCTAATCAAATTATGAGATTATCTTAATACAAAAGTTTTCCATTAGTGCGCAATTGTTATTGCTCAGGTCTGACAAGATATGGGGAACGTAGTAGTAGAAAAAAAATTTCTTAATCATAAGCTTTGTCAGGTAACTGAGCACTCAGCCCAGCACAAAAAAGTGATATCCTTTTTTACAACAGTGCTATGCACTCCTTTCCCACCAGCACACTCCCCTCACTAGAAATTGAGGCTAGCCTGCACAAAAAGTGATTAAGCACTCAGTTTCCCTCAAAAAGTAATTCCCGGTTTTACAATAGCGCTTCAAACTTCACTCTCCTACAAACCATTCTCCCCATTTGATATTGCCGTTAACTTGAGAAAGTAGATAGGGGTGTCAAATTGAGCATCCATCTCGGGTGTATAGCACTGAACAATGCATTCATTTTTTCAAACCGAGATGGATGCTCAATTTGACTCGAAATTTCTCAAGTCATGTAGCCAAAATTGACCCAAAATTGACCCGACTTGAGGCTCAAGATGAAGAAATGATTACTATGGTAAAAAATCTCATCTCCTTCATTCATGAGTGGGCTTCTATAGAGCCATAAAAAATATTTTATAAAATAACCCCTGGACTTCCTCTATATTTCATATTTATAATTAGACCCCTCAAAATAAGTATAAATCTCAATACTCCCCCTCAAGATGGGCAAAAGATATCCACTAAGCCCATCTTGTCACATAATCCAGACAAATCTAATGAACTAAGTCCTTCTAAGTCCTTTAGTCCTTTTGTGAGGCAGTCGGCCACTTGCTCTCCAGTGGCTACATGACTTGGATCCAGTAGCACATTATTCAGCTTTTCCTTGAAGAAGTATATATCAATCTTCACATATTTGGTTTTAACGTGTTGCACCAAATTGTTGGCAATGCCTTCATTTGAATTCCTTCATCCATCTTGAGCTCAACCAACAAGGCTCTGAGCCACTTCATTTCGACAACTCCTAAGGCCATGGTACTCTGCTCCTGTTATTGACCTCGCTACCACAGATTGTTTCTTGCTCTTCCAAGAGACCAAGTTGCCCCCTACGAACATACAATATCCTAAGATGGATATTTTGTCATCTACACAACTTGCCCTGTCAGCGTCACAATAGTCCTCAATGTCTACATGCTCATTCTTCCTGAGATCAACCCATTTCCTGGTGTACCTCAGAATCTAATACATTGCGCCAATATGACCATTCCTTAGATCATGTATATAGTGAGTCACCACACTCACTACAAATGAGATGTCGAGACGTATGAGATAGATCGAACAACCCACCAATCTCTGATATCTCTTATGATCAACTAACTCTCCCGCTTCTGCACTCAATTTGACATTTTGATCAATTGGAGAAACAACAGGTTTGCATCCCAGCATGCATGTTTCTGTGAGGAGATCTAGTACATACTTTCTTTGAGATGAAGTCATTCCCTCTGATCCACAAGCCACCTCAATTCCAAGGAAGTATCTGAGCAGCCCAAGATGCTTCACCTCAAATTTTTTGCCCAATCTAACCTTTAGTTGAACAATCTCTGTCTTATCATCACCAGTAATAATCATGCATCAACATACACAACAAGCATAGTGATGTGAACATCAGTTTGACGAAAAAACACCGTATGGTCAACATTGATCTGTTGATATCCCATGCCCATCAAAGTTTTTTTAAACTTGTCAAACCAGGCTCGAGGAGACTGTTTCAAGCCATAAAGCGACTTCCTAGGCCTGCACACCTTGCCCACAGTCTAACCTATACTGAATCTTGATGGTATGTCCATATATACCTCCTCCAGTAACTCACCATGAAAAAAAACATACCCATCATTTCCAGCCAGAGAAGCCAGTGTCTTCACTGTGCTCTTCTTCGCTATAGGTGCAAAAATCTTGTAAATGTCATATGTCTGACTGTACCCTTTCACCGCCAATCATGTTTTGTAACGATCCACTTTCCCTTTCGGATTTTATTTTACTGTAAAAATCCACTTGCACCCAGCTGTTCTTTTTCCCACAGGTAATGGTACTATCTCCCACATCCTGTTCTTATCGAGAACACCAAGTTCCTCCAACATAGCATCCTTCCATTTTGGATCTTCCTAACTATCTGCCAACACTTGGGAATAGAGACAACTTCTTAAGCTGCAATGAATGCTCCTATACAGATGATACGTTAAAGCATGAGACAAACTAAGCAATGTCATGTGAGAAACAAACACAATTAAGAGAATAAATATCAAAATAACGACATGCATAGTTGCGAGAGGTCTTCCTTAAAGCCATATGAGTGAGAGGAGAAGGGAGAGAAATTATATCACCTGGGTAATCAGATTTTGAAGTGGAGGATGTAAGTGTCTCTAGAGTCAGGGCAGACCAGGACAATGGGCTTGATGACCACGGCACACTGTTCCCGGACTTGATGGCACAAGTGGCACTGTAGGCACTATTCCCTCATTCTGCTCCTCCTTGTATACACTCTCAGCTCCCTTTAAGTTTGAATCCCTCCACCTTCAAGTTCATTTTTCTCATTTTTCAGCTTTTTCTCAGTTGATTCTTCCCACATTACGGGACAAAGCATCGTTCCCACATGCACCAATCTCTAAGTATCACTACTCTCCCCTCAAGCCACATACCTCCAGTATCACACGAGTCACCAAAATGTGAGGTCACCTCCAGGGTGTAGTGATGTTTGAATTCTCTAAAAGATATATTCATGCTCACAAACAGTGTCTTCTTTATCGAACTCCAACAAACATACATGTTCTGGGTAGCAGAATAACCCACAAAAACATATTTGAAAGCTCTAGGATCTAGTATCTCTACTGATGATCTGTTGTCTTTCACAAAGCATACAAAACAAAAAACCTTCAATAGGAGGATAACACTATTATCTCCTTTCAACATCTAAAAATGGAGACTCCCAATCCAACACTGTCGAGGGCATTCTGTTGACCAATTGAGCCAATGTCAACATTACTTACCTCCACAAGTGCTTTGGGGTATTCATCGCGATCATGATGCTTCGAGCTACCTCTAGGTGTCTATTCTTCCTCTTTGTAACTTTATTGTGTCGATGTGTATGAACATGTGTTTTGATGCTGTATCCCTTAGGCTGACAAGTATTACCCAAACACCTTATTGGTATACTTTGTCTCATTATCAGACCTCAATACATTCACTATTGTACTGTATTGAGTCTGAATCGCCTTGTGAAAAACTTTAAAGCAGACAAACACATTACTTTTGTTTCTCATCAGATATAACTAACAAGAGAAAAACACTCAATGAAAGTCACAAAATATATGTAACCATCGATAGAAGTTGTAGAACAAGATTCAAATACATCTAAGTGCACCAAATCAAAAACATAAGAACTCCTTATACCAGATCATAAGAGCTCTAGAATTACTTACCAAACTCACAAGCATCACACAAGTTTTTGTTTATTTGTCTTTTCATACAATGATGGATACAAACAAATCGATAGACTAAATGAAGAGTGTTCGACGCGCTTGCGATGTAGCAACAAAACATCCTCCACGCTCCACTCAGATCCTCCTGCTCAAGCATTCTCAACCATGGATGCTAAGACTGTCCATCCCCTCTCTATCGAAATACCAGAGTCCACTATGTCACATGTCAGTCCCAAGTCTTCGGCTAATCCCGGTCTCTTGAAAGATCATCTTTAAAATATCAAATAAAAGAACACATTTTAATTTGAATAAAATATCAATAATGGATAAAAAGTTCACTGGAAAGAAAGGAGCATGTAAAACAGTAAACAGTAATATAATTGGTAAACCTCACTGTACCATTACCAGCCAGAGGTTGTGTTGTATCATCAACAATCAGAATGTTCTCTGGAACTGTTAGATGAGTATAGGAAGAAAACTCACTAGTTGCACCTGTCATATGTTGAGATGCACCAGAATCTACTATCCACTCTAGTAATATTGTGGTGGATATAGAGACGAGCTCATGTGTATCACGAGTATCTTTGACTGAGTGAGCATAACTAGAAGTGTTCCCCATAGATGATGATGAGGTGGATGTGTCCTCAGTCACATTACATGTCGTTCTCCGCTTCCTCTTCAATGTCTCCAGTAGCTCATGATTCTCATCAGTAAAGACTACTATTGACTTTCCCTCATTCTTTGCTACCATCAGATTTGCTCAGTAGCCTCCCCTTCCACCCCTTGGGCCCCCACGATTACAATCACAGCCTCTATACTATTCATGTCCACCCGTCTCTCTCTTCTTGGGTGGCTTTGGACAAGCCACGCTCAAGTGTCCAACTTCTCCACAGTTGTAGCACCTATGGTCTAAGCTCGATGCAGTTAAAGCCATTCACATACTGGAAAGTCCACTTGGCTCAGAGTGAAGCCTCATGCGACTCTCCTCGTTTATCCATCAATTTAACTATTCTTCAGCCTTCATCGGTCTCTCACATACCTCTATCTTGCACCAAGCTGCTCTAACCACTCTACGGTGATCCGACAA